GTACGCTATACTGGTAAAAATTACTTCTAGAGCTCTACTGATCTTTGTACGCTAAAAGATCAGTAGAGCTCTAGAAGTAATTTTTACCAGTATAGCGTACAAAGATCAGTAGAGCTCTAGAAGTAATTTTTACCAGTAGTACGCTATACTGGTAAAAATTACTTCTAGAGCTCTACTGATCTTTTTTAAATTAAAAATTACTATTCTTAAAACTCTTCATACACTATACTGTTAAACATTACAATTCCTAGCACTCTTCTTAACTTCGTACACTGTTTCATTAAAAATTACTGCTTACAAATTTCTACTGATCTTCGTATACTGCTTTAGTGAGATGGCTTACTACCCTTACGAGTCTATTGTACGCTACTGTCTACCGATATTCATACATCATAGTGTTAAACATTACTCTTAGATCTCCACCGATCTTCATATTTTGTGTTATTAAAAGTTACGTGCATCTAAATAAAAACCCTACTGTGGTTTTATGCTGTGATGGCCGTCTTTGAAGCTGTTTAATGCTCTGTAGCCGTTGACTGTTCAGTGAACTGAGTATCGTTATTCGATTTAGGAAGTTAAAACTCTGAGTCGTGTGACCAATGTTAAATACTTTCTGATCAAAGAAAGGTACCATAATAGAAGAGAAGTCAAAATTTGATTAATTAATAATGGGGCTACTTTAATATACCGCTCTAACTTGGAATATGTTATGAAACAAAATGTGAGAATAATAATACATTGACTTTCCCTATTATTCATATTTTCATAATATTCAAGAAAAAGATAACTTTTGATGTTGATGAAAGTGTTCTCTACATGTGACTAGTCTGTTTTCTTGATAATTACAGAGGATAACCAAAAAATACAAGGTCAAGGTTTCTGTTAACATACATACAGAGAAGTAAAGTACAACAAGTGTAGGGAGCTCAATTAAACTTCCTCTATACCGTGACCTTTAAACCTTGATAAACAGAGATCTAGAAGATGTATATTCTAATAGTTTTTCTCCCTTTGGCTTAAACACCGAGATTCCAAACTTGCTGTACACACGGGCTCTTCTTTAATTCCTGTCAATGACCTCTGAATCTTCACCAAATTGATACATGAAAAAAATACCAAATTGATTTAAGATTAACTTTTATTTTATTATCAGTGTTTTTTTTACAAGCTAACATTTATACATTTTTAATCAACTTTTTATCTGGAATTTTGGGTTATATCAAATCTTGTTTAATGAAAATAATATAAATTAATATTTTGTCAAAACCTTTTTTTTCTTCTCAAAATATCATTAAAAGGAACCTTAAATATAAATATTTATTTCTAGTTATATCAGATATTATCATAAAATCTCTCAAACAGGTTAGTCTAAAAATAGAAACTCAATAACATACATGTACCAAAGAGATAAACATTATCAACTGCAGTAAACAATAAAATGGAAAGAAGAAAGCAGCTCGAGGAAACATAGATATTATCTTATTAGAGTAACATCATAGAACGTTTGTTACTGCTTAGAATTAACATGTTGAAGTGACTAGAATAGTTGATGATAAAGTAAAGAACATGAAACAGAAAGAATTAAGTGGTTCTGTATAAACATGCAAAGCAACGAGCACAAAGTTTCATACATCATATCAAAAATATATATATTTAGGAGATTCCTTTATATATGTAAAACACAAAAACCAATTAATCACATACAAACAAATCTGTATAAAACATAAAAAGAAAAGCTAGAAATGGGGAGAAGCAAAAAAAAAAAAAATACTAGTCACCCTTTAGACAAATGGTTATATTTGAAGCCTAAAACATGCAGAAGTAATATTACCACGACAAGTGACTTAAGGGCGACTCGATGAAACATCAATAAAATAACTGTTTAGAGACTTGGAGTACTGAGAAAATATGAGCAAATGGAAAATTCCACTAAGTCGAGTTAATGGAAATGAAGGAGGTTTTACAGATATGGAAAAGGTACTATATTTTTAACCTCAGTAGTCAGAGATTATTCATCATGTACGTGTTGTTTTCTCAGCTTTATTAAGTAGTTACTCCAATACAAGGTTAAGTTAGATCATCATTTTGTTCTGTTACGTAGCAGACTCACTTTCCATGCATTCACTTTCACTTTTCCTATAAAGAAACAAATTAAAACTATATGATTATAAGAGTGAAGCTATAAATCTTATGTGGCTTTTTCTTAAAGTTTATTTATACATCATGAAATATATTATCAAAACGTAGTGTTTATATAGGCCTAAATGGTCCTTACAAAAGTCTATAAACTTATCGATTGAAAGAAAAGAAATCCACAATTTTCATTATCAACTGAACCCGTGTATAATACATACAAAATCAACTATAATCTGCTTTCAATCATGTAATCTTAAATAATTAGATTCAGTCAATTATAATTCATTTACAAGATATGTTCATAAAAGTTTTAAGCATATACATTGTCGTTCATTAGAGTTGTTTCTTTTGTCTGTGTTAAACATATAAATGATGTTAATTTTCTATTAAAACAATTGTACAAATATCAATAATATTTTCAAGGAGACAACTCTGTATCTTAACGATCCTTCTTTAGTATTATCCTCTTATACTACACAGTATTATTACACAACAGATGCTAAGTTCAAGATATCACTCTGCCCAAATATATTAGACTCAACTCGTAATTTTCTTTCATGTACTGATATGAACATTCTGAACCGACTCCAAGTTGACCAGGTTGTTAATGTTAGATCACTACGTAGCTTTACCCCAATTATAAGCCTAACCTTAAGAATACACATGCAGATTTTAAGCACACATTTGGAAATCCTATGGTTGGATTTAAAATATTAGTTAATTTTTTACGGTTAATACTATAAATTTACCATTTTCCCATCTAATAAATCACCTGAAATCTAAAGAGATGTCTACACACAATTTACAACATCTCTGAGATAAGGATATTGTTACGTCAGCGAGGTCACGTGACTAGTAT